TAAAAAACGATGTGTTTTTGGATATTTGTGGAGTTAGGTGGTCCTCGAGTGTTTTTGTATTGGTTAAGTGGTCCTTGGTATGAAAAAGTTTGAGAAACACTGGTGTAGTGTCTTCGGCCATCCTAAACTGAATGTTTTTTCGGATATAATATCGCATTAACAACACTACATCTGGCTTCACAGAGATCTTCTGTTACTGTCCTTTCTTCTTAGAGGAAGTACAGAAACACGTAACTCTGGATTTGTTTTAATGTTTGAGGTGCATACACTGACCCCGTTAACATTAATCTCATAAATGTTCAAAATGTTAAAAAAATAAATGTTCATCATAGCCCTTCCTATTTGACAATAGTGTAGAAGAACCTGGTTTTTTTGCTTTGTATGTCGGGGGCGGGATATTCATGTGATATTCATGTGATTGGTTGTTGGTCGCGAAATCCCCAAGCTGTCAGACACGCCCAGCTCCAGGATTTTCAAGATTTGGTCAAAGCTGCTGTGTGGACACACCGTGAGGCAAATTGACATGCTGCAGGATGGCGTGGTAGGAAGGCAGCAGTCGCACGCTGTTAAAAATTAGCCTAAAGTTGAGGAAGGTCTGCAAGAGTGCAATCAAGAGGAGAGAAAGGAGGGGAAAGCAGAGACTTGGAGGACCAAACGAATTTGTCATGCTGGACGAAAGCAACTTCTACCACAAAAGGAAGGTGTGTATAAACTACAGAGCCTTAGCCTTTGGCCTCACTAAAACTAAAACCTTTGTTTTTCAAGGTGAAATAACAACATATATTTTAAGGTCAGAGATTAACAAATGAATGAGCAAAGTAATGTAATTGTATAATTGTGTCATTCACACCCTTGTGACTGGCGAGACAAAGTATACATTAGAGAGAGCCAGCTCCACGGTGTATACACGTGTAGTCAAATAACAGAAAAAAAGAATTTAGAAGCTAAGAATTATCTCATCCAATCAGATCATTAAAGATGGGGTAGGTAAATTTCAGAAACCGGCTCGAGATACACTTTTTGTTATATTCCATGGAATGCTCTTAACATCCCGATAGCAATGAATATCTTAAGTGCTTTGACAAAAAATCAAAAAAAAATGTCCTCTGTAGAAGCCGTAATACTGTAAAAAGTACAACCAATTGGATGGCCTACCGGCCTGTCAGCCTTCCATCGGGGCACAAACTTATCTCGTGCCCTCATTGGTCATGTGCGCGTTTGTGTGTGTTGGAGGAGGGGCTCTGTAAGGAAGTGGCAGATTTTCTCCGGTTGTGTATTTTCAAATTCTAGCGATCTCGAGCCGGTTTCTCAAACTTACATACCCCACCTTTAAGGAAATAAATCCTTATTCTTACTTTTTATTACTAACATTTTAAAAGTGCATAATCTTATTTATATATCATCTAATTACAATATCTATCTTACATTTTCATGTTTCTTGCAGCAAAATAAGCAAACTTTAACTTAATAAAATTAAACAGCCTTTTCTGTTTGTACCACTACATTTTAATTTTTTTCTCTTCTTTTTTGAGAAAGGAAGTGAATATTTTCTAAATTGTAAAAGAAAGCAAATAAACACATTACATTTTGTTTATCAATTGAAATTCCTGATGTTTATTTTTATATAACTGTTGTCCTTTTTCACTGCTTTATTACAGTATGGTAGGGGAAGATTCGGTCCTACGTGGAGGAGGAGAAAATGGGTCTTTGGAATGCTGGGCATCAGAGGAAAAAGGAGAAGACCTATCCTGAGGCTGGTGAAACAAAGATCACGGCGCCACTTAATTCCTCTGGTCACAAAATACGTTCGCCAAGGGACCACGGTGATAACGGACATGTGGAGGGCATACACCACTGCAATCGCAGAAAGTGGCTTTGTCCATTTCTCTGTGAACCACAGCCGGTCATTTGTGAACCCAGACACAGGAGCCCACACCCAAAACATTGAGCGGGCTTGGTCAACGTACAAGTCACAGGTCTGGAGACTGCGAGGAAACCGCACAGTGAAGACTCTGAAGAGTCATCTTGCTTTGATCGAGTGGACACATTGGCTGGCAAATGAACACAAAGATGACCCTTAGGCAGATTGCTGCATGACATACGCCACTTTCGCAAGTTCTGATGCAACCTCGTTTTCATTATTAGTGTCCTTTGTATTGTTGTTTAAATAAAAATGTAAACTTGAGTGCACAGGGTTTGTTTATTTGTTTACTGCTTAACGAATGGTAAAGTAATCATTAGGTAATGGGTAACTACTGTTTTTGATGCATTACTTTACTTGAGGGGACACACAATGCTTAACGAATGGTTAAGTAGGCATTAGGTAATGGGTAACTACTGTTTTTGATGCATTACTTTACTTGAGGGGACACACACTGCTTAATGAATGGTTAAGTAGGCATTAGGTAAAGAGTAACTACTGTTTTTGATGCATTACTTTACTTGAGGGGACACACAATGCTTAACGAATGGTTAAGTAGGCATTAGGTAATGGGGAACTACTGTTTTTGATGCATTACTTTACTTGAGGGAACACACAATGCTTAACGAATGGTGCATTACTTAATGGGTAACTACTGTTTTAGTAACGGTAAGGTAATCATTAGGTAATGAGTAACTACTGTTTTTGTTTGCGTTCCTTGAGTTTACCGTACCCAAACGGCCTAAGTAATGGTAAGGTAAATCGGATCCACCTCCACCAGTTGATCCAGGGTGGGACCCAACCCAGCCGAAGATGGCAGGTTTAAATGTGCCCTGCTGCAGCGGACCATTGTTTCAATCAAAGTCTCCCAGGAACTCCTCATTAAGTAACCATTAACGAATGATTCATTAATACAGTACCCCAGTCTGTTTACCAGTAACTAAGCATTAGTTCACGCAGGAACTCCTCATTAAGTAACCATTAACGAATTATTCATTAATACAGTACCACCCAGTCTGTTTACCAGTAACTAACTAACCATCCATCGCAGTCACTGAGGAACTACTCATTAAGTAACCATTAATGAATGATTCGTTAATACAGTACCCCCCAGTCTGTTTACCAGTAACTAACCATAAGTTCACTGAGGAACTACTCATTAACTAACCATTAACGAATGATTCATTAATACAGTACCCCCCAGTCTGTTTACCAGTAACTAACCATCAGTTCCTCAATTGCAGTCACTGAGGAACTAACCATTAACTATCTAGTAGTTCCTCAGTAACTAAGCAGTAACTAAGCACATTTTGTGTACCTTATTGTAAAGTGTTACCCATATATCTTTATATTTAAGGCCAAGCTCAAAGTAAAATCGACGATCTGCTCCATTGTTGTGGCTTCTGTGTTGCCGAACTGACCAGGGGCCTATACTACGAAGCTGGTTCAACCTAACCTGGATATGTTTGAGTTAGCCGGTTGGCCTGATCCAAAACATACGCGCTCTCGCTAAACTGTACTACGACGCTGGTTATAAAGTGGATCGCTCAAGCCAGCCGTTTCCTATCTAGTTAGGTGCGCGTTCACATGAAAGGGGTGGTATTTGGAGCATTCGACCAATCACAAACATGGAGAAGCGTACTGACAGCGCAGCGTCATACTTCCTGAATGAAAAGTGAACTTTAATACTAGTCAAAAATGAAGAAGTTAAACTTTAAACATCCATGACTTAAACACTTTATCCAGGATAAAAGCCACATAGTTGCACCTGCAAGGTGAATACAGCTGGCAAAAGAAAACGTGTTTGAATGCGTACATTAACAGGTTTATGATATCACTGCCCCGTCTAAAACACAATTTGACTTTAATTACATTTGTCTCGAGTGTTTCGTCAACTTAATGTGTTGCTTAAAATAATACTTTTGCATACAGTAGGCCTATGACACTGTGAGTGTTGCACGGCCAGATACGGCTCAGCTGACTCAGATAAGAAAATATATGATACATTATGAAGTGATATGCCGCGGACTGTACTTAATGTTACTCTGATCCGGTTACTTATGTTGTGGTAGATATTTAAGTAAGCTTTCTTAACGCTAATGTTATAATAGTCAGATTGCTCTGAAGATGGGAGGTGCCTGTTAGGTTGTCCAGACAGAGTTTCATGACCAGCTGGCTGAGGATACATTTCTCTGGATTTAGCTTGAAGCACATTATGTCTGCCTGATGGTATGGGGGTTATTGTAATTCATGCTTTTGTAAGAGGTGAAAGAGGTAGGATATATACTGTATTTGGTCAAATGTTGGTAACAATCCAATATGGTATTAAGTCAAATAATTGTGATCTTTGATAAATCTAAAGTATTTTATTCTTAGTATTGCAAAACGTTTCGCCCAGATTTCAATTTTTTTTTACAGATACCACTGTAATTATTTAGGTTGTTTATAATTACAGTGTTATTAATAAGTTCAGTTATATGTAATGTTTGAGTGTAGGTAGGTCAGAACTTTTGATCATGTAATTTAAGATGCTGTCAAATTTAAACTTTCAGGAATTGGATGTTGTTCATTAGCTTTTCACTCCTTGCTCTGTCATTGAGATATCTTATTTATTACTCGTACTAATTATGATATGATTATTGTACAATACTAGATGTTTTGATTTATTGTTCTTTGGAATATTGTTTTATAATTCAATAAGATAATAATTCGAAATACTGCTGTTTTAATAGTCCAATAGATCTTGCTCTTGTTTAGTTTTGATTACTAAACTTTTGCCAGAAATTGTTTGACTTAAAAGACGATTTATTTTAAAAACTTTGTTCTCAGTGTCTTGTTATTGTGTTTTAGTAATGGTTATTTGGGTCCCAATGTTTCTCATTTGATAAACTTATTTGAGTATTTCTTGTATTGTTGTAATAATTGTCAAACTATTGTTACTATCTAATTGAATTAGCTTATTGGTCAGTCTTGCAGAAACTCATTTTTCAGTCAAAACAAAAAATCAAGTCTAGAATCATGATGCTAAAATATTCAGTGAGATTCATTTCAATTCACAAAACAAGCAATCAGACATTTACAGATTGGATTAATGTTTTTTATTGATGTTTTTCATTCTTTGCAGGAAGGAAAGTTTCAGTAAAATGTTACATTTTCAATGTTTGTACACAACAAACCATCCAACTTAAAATGAAAAACAGGTGTTACTGTTGAACTCATTGTTATAAATATGGTTAACGAGTAAATTGTCCATACATGGAACATGTTTTGAACAGATGATAGTGTTTCATATGGACTTAGGACTCAGTATGTGAGGGTTCCTCAATGCTTAAAGGAAAATGGAAGGTCAACCTCAAGCCTTCCTTCACTAACTTTTATGTACGCTTGAGCGTCCGCTGAAGCTTGCTGCAGGAAACCATTAACAGTGTTATTGAACTGGTCCACTACATGAACAAACATGTCGATAATGTACTCAATTGAGTGGTTGAGCTGCTCAATATTTAAGGCAGAGATGTGGTCAACAACATTCTTTAAGGCTGTGACAAAGTTGACATAAGGGACATTGATGTAGATGAACACTGCATCTAAATAGTCAGACTTGACAGAGTCAACAAACTCCTGAGATTTCTCAACAATAGCCTTAAGGGTCTCACCAATCTTCTCTAGCATTGTGTCAACACTCTCCATATGTTTCACAAAGTCCACCAGTTCGTCAAAGATGGTCTTGAAAGTTGTTTTAACCTGATCCAGGATCTGGCCTCCAGTGATTACATCACCAACTGGCATGCGCATTTTCACACTGTTGATCTTCTCAACAAAGGCGTTAAAGGAGACTTCAATGTTTTCATAGATAATCTGGAGGGTAGAATCTAGCATAGCAGAAATGCTGCTGGTCAGCTTCTTGAGGACTTCAGGGAGGGTGGTCATCTCATCAGACCCAGGCAGTTTGAACTGGGTTTCCCTCAAGACCTTGACGACAGCATCAATAAATACCTGGACAGTCTTCTGGTACTGGACAATGATGTTCCTGAAGAAGATTGACAGCTGGCTCATTTGTGAGTCATAGTTGATTGCAGCTTCATAGGCCTCACTGATGCGGTTAACAACAGAGTTCCTTAACTCTTCCATGTTGCTTGTGATGTGGTACTTGTCAGCAAACATAGTGAATGCAGAGATGATGGAAGGGATTCTGGTCTTGAGTTCAGAGAGTACGACTTTGGGTGCCTCCATGTTGTAGGCGATCTGCAGGTTCATCTTATCAGCGTCCATTGAGGATGATCTGATAACTAGGACTTCAACATCATCCTCCGGGGCAGACTGTTTAATGGAAGGAAATTACATATTTTAGCTATGTTTTAAATGTTGGCATTCATTTTCCATGTCAAAAAGGTAATGTTAATGATACTCACAGGATAACGACCATAGACTCTTGCACTCATCTGAGATGGGACTCTGCCATTGAACTGAATGCCCATGAACCCAGTTGAAGGGGTAGATACCGATGCACTGATGCCATCTTTGCCAGCAGCGTAACGAAGGTTAGCATCAGTGAATGTAGGACTTGTGATGTCCACGTTCAGGGTGTGGTGAGAGTTACTGAAAGATAGATAAAGCATTTCAAATAAAAAGCCACCATTTATTTTTGAACTGGTATCATGAAAACAATCAATCTGATTTATACACATTGGCAAGAAGAAAAAAAAACTGTAGACTGAATATTTACCTGTCATCAGCCTGGCGCTTTCTCCTAAAATGTGAAGAAAATGAGTAAAATGCTTTAAACCTTGAATATCAGAAGTAGTTATTCCAAATATGTTGTGAAACAAAGACAACATTTTACCTCAAGGCTTGGATAATGGCATGATTTACATCAATTTTCATGTCAGCGTGTGTCAGGACAACGTTGCTGACCATGTTCAGAGCTTCATTTTCAAAGTTGACAGTAATAGAACCTAGTGAAATAAATATTTTGTTATTTGGAGCTCAACGATGTTTGCAACACAAAACAGATACAATTAATGAGGAATTTAAATCAACTCACCATCCATGTCATAGTCCAACAGCACAATGACAGAGGTAGCAGAGGACTTTAGGGTGACTTTGAAGACATGACCATCACCCTCTACTTCAGCTGCCACGTTTGTGGTGTACAGTGGGATCACAAATTTGCCATTGGTAGAGATCTTCTGCTTGGCGGCTGTCACCTCAGCAACAGTTTTTCCAAAGATGGTGAGGTCCCCCAGGGTGTTTGGCTGAGACATATCAATCTCAATATCAGCAGTCAAAGAAGAAGCTGGGGCAAGATCAATGGTAGCCTGGACCACATGCTTCCCATTGGTGCTAAAACTGAGCAAGTTTGCCTCATTGTTGCCAGTATACTTCAGCACTGCATATACACGACTCAGGGAGGCTTCAACAGCAAGATTCTCATTTACATCCATTTCAATGACTTTGTTGGTACCTTGGTTGAGCTTGGCATCAGCAATAATCTTGGAGGTGGAGCGTAAACCATCATTATTCAGATACAAATTGAAGTCATTATCCAAGACTCCCAAAAGGAGATAGTTCTCAAGCACTGTGCCATCCATGTTGGCCTTGTTTGTTGACTCCATGGAAACCTCCAAAAAGCTTCCCTCCAGCTTCAGACTATGGTCTACCTCTACCTTTCCAACAGCCTTGATCAGAGGGAGGTTGAAATCACCTTTCATCCTGAAGGTGGAGACAGCATTGGTTTTGGTGTCTGCAACCAAATGTTGGTTTGCCTCAAGGTTGAGTATTGGCAGGGTAATCTTTACAACAGTAGACACAGAGACAGCTGTTTCAGAAGTCTCAGTACTCATGCTGATGGTGCTGTCATGGGTGCCTTCAATGTGAGCATTTTCAAGGGACAGGGAATTGGCCAACTTGATTCCTCTCCTGGTAGTTAGACTGGTGGTTCCATCGAGTTTGGCTTTAAGACCCTCAAACACAGAGGCTGTGGTAGCTCCCAGACGGAACACAAGATCTTCTTCAGCATAAAGTCCAGCATTAACATTCAGATTTACAATGGCAGACTTGACGGACAGCTCTGTGATCAGGTTACCAACAGAGGGAATCTGGATCAGACCCATCATATCAACAAGGGGGGCAGCCTCGCTTTTATGGTAAACAATCTTGGCATCCACATCCACAGTTTGCTCAGTTGTAGTCAAAATGTTGTTCAATCCAGTCTGCTCATACACATTCAGATCAGTGATTTCTGGTGTACGGAAGTCAACGAATGGCAGGTCAAACTCAGGAATGCTGATGGGGGATGATAGGAATTCAAGATTGGCCTCACTTTCCATGGCAACAAAAATCCCAGCATCATGTGGATTATTGTCAATAGTGTAGTTGTAGGATATTTTGTACTGATTAAGACGAGCCAGAGCTACTGTGTTAATCTTTTGGTTGTTAGGTTTTAAGGTGGCTGAGTAATCATTCTGCAGATCTATCTTAGCAATCAGACTTTCAAAAATGTTGACCTTGGCATTTCCTTTGTTTTGGAAATCAAAGATGAGCTCAATAGGACGGACTTCAATGTTGATTCCATTGGACAGGACTCCACTGATTTCGCCATACAGTTCTGTGTCATGGTTTACTTTCAGCTCAGCCTTCAAATCATAAAGGTTTACATGTCCAGATGCCACCATCAGACTGTTCTTGATGATTGGTGCCTCTGCCTCATTGCGGACATTAAACTTGAAGTAGGAAAGGGTGCCAGATTCAGCAGTAATTTGCTGTTTCATTTTTAAGATGGTAGAGTCTGTGTCACCGGAGAAAGTTAGAGTGACAGTGCTGGGATTGATTGTCAGTTGCAAGTTGCTCTTGTGGGTGCCCTCATCAGCATTGATTTTACCAGTTCCTGAATTGTCCACTGTTAGAGTGAGGATGTAGCCATCTTGGCGGGCAACTGCTTTCTGGGTAACTGTTGCTTCACTCCTGACCCTGACAATTGGGAGGTCCACAACATGATTGTAAGTTGTATCGAGAGATGCAGACATTCCTTCTTCCATAGCAATAAAGGCTGTGTTCATAAAGTCAGCTGTGTAAGGTGTAGTGATAACCTTAATTGTAGTTTTACCCTGGGCCTGGGCTGATTGGCCATAGAGAGTTACAGATGCCTGATGTTCAACTCCAAGATTAACATGGCTGAACTTAAGTGTCTCTGCAAGGACAACACGACTCATTTTTGGGAGTGCCAAACGAGCAGTGGAGTCTAGTTTGTAATTAAGAATCTCAAAACTTGGAGATGTGGCAAGGGAAGTAAGGAATCCAGTGAATTGAGGTGTCATTTCACTCTCAGTGGAGTTCTGGAACTCAGCAGAAGTCTTGACGGTGTAGATGGGAGTTTGGAATTTGATCTCACCATAGAGTTTACCGAAGCATGGGACCATAATCTGAGTTGGAATGGTTGGCAATGTGAACTCAGGAACCTGGAGAGACTTAACAAGCTTTTCTACAGGAACCTGTGGAATGGTAGGGAATGAGATCTCAGGAAGGCTGATTTCTGGGAAGGACATCTCAGGCATGGAAGGAAGGTAGTTCATGGTTAGGTCTCCAAAGAAAGCATCCACATCAATCATTTTGATCTCAAAGTGTCCAATGAATTCAATAAGTTCAATGATTCTCTGCTTGATGTCCTCAAAGGAAATAGTGGTTGCTTGTACGGTATAAAGTCCCAAGATAGTGAATTCCGGGATGTCAAGCTGTGTTGGGATTTCAAACTGTCCAAGTTTATCCATGCTGAGCATTACAGAGGGCACAACAAGATCAGTGAGAGGAAGGGTGAAGGTTGGAATATTCAACTCAGCTTTCTTAAGTTCAACAATAAGGCCCTCAACGATCTGCTGAATCTCATTGATGATTTTTTGTTCAGGTGCCATGTTCTTAATCATCTCAACCATACTGGTTAACACCTCAGTGACCTTGGTGATGGCCCTAGTGTAGTATTTGCTCACAAAGTCCAGATAAGTGGTAATCGCAGCATTGACATTCAGATTTGTAATTTCTTCTTTAATGAACTCAGCCAAGGGCTTAACGATGTCCAGCACAAACTTATCAATTACATCTTTAACGGATGTAATCATGTCTGCAACTTTGATCTCTCTCAGGCTTTCCATAAATCCTCTGAATGATGAAAGGACAAGGTTGACAAAGTCTCTTGTTGCTTCAAGTTTCTGGGGGATTTCAAGAGCCCCGATCAGCTCATTGATGTAAACAGTATACTCAGCAATAACTTCATTGGCATGATCGACAAAGTCATTATACTCCAATGACCTGAGCTTTTGCACAATAGTTTCAATATGCATATTCAGCTGTTGAATGATATCCTCAACCTGAGTTGTTTTCAAGTAGTTGATGGCATCCTGGAAGACTTGCACAAGTTTGGCAGGAATGTCTGCGTCCTTCACCTTGTTGACTACAGCACTGATTGTTTCCTCAATTTTCAACTGATGGATGAACTCAACAGCCTTTTCCAAGACAGCCTGGACCTTTTTGTCAACCTCAAACTTTACAATCAGCTCCCTCACCTTGGCATAGAAATTGTTGATCTTTCCTAGGATGTCAAGATCCTGAATAATTTCCTTAACGGAAAATACAATTTCATTGAAAATCTCAGTAGGAATCCGACTCACAAGTGCATCAATGTAAGCTTTAAATTCGATTGATGAAATGTAATCCTTCAGCTCAACAACACATTTTTGCATGTCGAAGGTCTCAATCATTTGTTTCACATCACTCATCATTGTCTGTAGTTTAGCCTTGACTTCATATTTGGAATCCAAATCCTGCAGGAATGAGATGCTACTGCCCGTGAGTTTTTCCAAGTCGATCTGCTGGATCAGCTCCCTCATGGTATCAATCACATGCAAAACCATTGCCTGTATGTCATACTCCTCATTAATGGCATGCAGCTGTTCCTGGATCTTCTGGATGAGGGTCTCGGGCAGATTGCCACTAACAATAATGTCTTTCAACATACCAGCAAAGTGGTGGATGTAAACTGACAGATCAGCCAGAAGATTCTCAACAGTAACCTTCAGGTTTGTCAAAGAGGCTTCCACGTCCTCCATGGAGATGACATATTCTTGGGTTAAATCATCAAAATACTGCTTCATCTGAGTGACCTTGCCTTCTACATTTAGTTGAGAAACAAAGTCACTTACATACTGGGGAAGAGCCTCAAGTTTAGCCTTTATCTCCTCATTGTTGATGTAGCCTTGCAGTGCCTCTGCCACACGCACAACAACAACCTTGACACTTTCCAAGAATGCAGGGAGAGTTTCAATGAAAGGAAACTGAATTATTTGACATTCTGTGATCTTGTCATACTTGAGGAAGGAAGAGATGGTGAATTCCTGGTTCTCTGTGGACTCTGCATTGAACATGTTTGAAAGGAAAGTGCCAGAAACTTCAATTCCAGTTCTCTCAGCAGTGTTGTAAACACTCATGTCTTGGTTAAAAGCGTGTTCATTCAATTTAGACTTCATTCTAAAACTGGTCTTCTGCTCTTGGGGTGACAGAACGGTATCCATCTTGTTGTCTAATGTGGTCTCAAGAGCAAAACCGTTATCTAGCTGGTGGTTTACTGATGCTCTGCATTCATGTGAGCTAGCAAAAGCCAGGGGTTGTGCTTTAAGGAGGAACTTGCCATAGAGCTGGGCACTATGCTTTCCATACATGGTCATGTCTCCATTAGCATTGAAGATTGCATCAAGATTGAAATCAAAAGGAACAATGCTGCAACGGATGGTGTGATCAAAGCGGAATGGCTGTGAGTTGAAGCGAGCATCGTTGGTAATCCTTGCAGCAAGACCGACAACCTCAAGCTCGGTGTTGTGGCTCATGTGAGTTCCAAAAAGTGTTACAATGGTGCTGCACTTTGCATCAGCTGTCATATCAGCATAGTTTACCTGATAGGTGTGCTTGATCTCTTCCTCACCATAGATGGCTTTCAGGTTTCCAGTCAGATCCATCTTGTAAAGCTCTGCCTGCAGCTGGGCCTCATTAATGAAGTTGGCAGCCAGAACGTTCAGGTTGTTATTAACATTTGCTGAGGCAGTATATGGTTTCAGGTTGATGGTGATATCATGAGTGTAAGATGCATACTCAATGCTAGTAGCTTCAGCCATTGAGTTGAAGTCAAGGCTAGAAAGAGTAATGGTCAAAGTGTTGGCATTATCAACCTTGATGTCACGTATGGCAGCCTTGTTGGCGATGGATAGAGTAGCCGTTGAAGCATCAAGCCCAGCATTGAAGGTGTTTTCCAGGGACAGGGGGCTCTGGAGGGTATTTGTTCCACTTGTGGTCAAACCATCCTTGTTCATTTTAAGAGTAGCCTTATGGGTAGCCTCATTCTCAAGGAGCTTTATGGTGGCATCGCTATTCACAGCCAGACCATTGACATCAAGGGAGGCAGTCAGCAGGGAGTAAACACGGTTTTCAGTGTGGTCACCATTTGTCTCCATTCTCATTATAACTTCACCAGCACCAGCAGAGGCTTCAGCTTGGTTGTGGATCTTCATGCCAAGAACAACAGCATTTGCATCACATTTCAGTGACAGCTTGCTGTCTTTGAAGGAAAGCTCAGCAACATGGGTCAAGTGGTCTTCAAAGGCATTGGTGTTAGACACAACTGAGAGTTCACCATTGGCAAGCGTTGCTGCAATTGTATTCTGGGCCTTGACAAGTGTGGAGTCAAGCTGAACCGTAGAATCGATCTTTGCTTCATGCCTGAATGGGAAGATGGCAAATGACTGGGTTGAAATGGTCTTGCCATACATTGGTCCAGCAGTGAAGTCTCCCTTAAAGTCGCTATGGGCAGAGATTTCTTCAGCGTTCATTTCTGTTGTGCCATCGTGGCCTAGGATGAAATGAACACCAAGTGGGCTTTTGGCTTCAATCTTGCTGCTTGATTTCAGGTTAAGTTTGTCTGTGAAGGTTGCTTCTTCAGTGATAACAACAGTGGCTTCAAGGAATTTATGAGCCAAAGAGCTTTCCAAATGGGCCTTGATGGAATCAGTAGTGGCCAACACTCCAGAGCCTAAATAAAACACAAAAGGAAAAATGATGATTTAAAGATGAATAGCTATTGATTATTTCATTAGGGAACATTACAACTAAAATCTAGAACTTTTTTCTTTGTATACATCATTGGAAGTTGAAGACCAACTGAACACTCCTCAAGCATGAGTAAACAGCACTTAATTGTAATGTCGAGTTAATGATAGCCATATATCAAATAAAAAAATCATGAATGACATTCACTTTTAATTACCTGTCATCGTAAATGAGAGGATGTCAACTGGGGAGGTTCCTCTCACATCAAACTTAGCAGAGTAGCTTGGTGTATCAACAATATCTTTGCCTGCAGCCATTGAGGCCTCCATTTCATATAGGTTGCTTTTCATCAAAGTTGAAATCTCAGCTTTGCCAAAAAGAGGAATGGACAGAGTAAGGCTCTCAGGAACAACAAGCTCTGGGATGGGAATTTCCATGGAGACAATCTCCAGTCCAAACTGGGGTAGTGACACGCTCGGTGTGGTCAAGGCTGGTGGGAAGTGAAGTTCTTCTGTTGACTTTCCTCCAAGAGGGAGAGGGATAGCAATGCTGAAGTGCTCATTGTTGAAGTGGTAGACAGCCTTTCCCTCGCTGTTATAAAAAAAACGTAAAGTGCATAAATGTTTTGGGAAAAAACGATAATTTAAACATTTACCTTGTAGTTTTTCACACTTACGTCTTGAGGAACAGTGTCTCTGGCAGGGAAATCTCAGGCATATCAGGCACTCTGAAGTCCTTAATGTAATGGAATTCATCACCATGCTTTTCCATGTAGTTGTTTGTTTCCTAAAAAAGTGACAATCAGTGTTTTATTCATGACCAACCATTTAACAAATAACAATGTAAATAAGTGTTAAATCTGAGATTCATACCTCTGCAAATTTATTGAAGATCTGACGGACTTTCATTTCTGTCTGCCCCACCTGTATGTCAAGAAGTTGGTTGCCATACATATCTACCATATCAGCAATTGGCAAGCTGGTTGTCTCAGTGTTCACATCGGACTTGAACTCAACCTCAAACTTGCTGGCATCTGTAAAAATAGAGAACAATATATTACATCCAGAGAAATTAGGAAATATTTCTCTAATCCTAACATTTGAATCATTCTGGGAGTAAAAGTATGCTAGCAAACAAACCAACACTTTATTCACGTTTACCAACCATTCTGACACTGTCAGATGTAGCTACATTTAGGATGCAAAACTGGTTTATATGCTACTGTCTAAGAAGTAAATCACTTGTCAACATGTCTTATGTCATAGTCTGAAAAAAGGGCCCTTTGAAAGTAACATTACCATATTTCATTGCGATATTCTGCTCAGATGTGGCAGCCATAACCTTGATTTCACTTTTAAGTTCCAACTCCAATTCCTCATCACGTTTCATGTTAGCTGTGAAAGTGGCATCAGCATTGATTGAGGGGACAAGAAGTTGGACTTGCAGCATAGCCTCCTTCATCTCTTTCAAACTGAAAGAAAGGACACAGAGTTAGCTTAATCTCAAGGATGAGGGTGAAATATATGTTATTTTATGAGCATTTATGTTGTTTTTCTTACTTGGCACGGCCAACCAGAGAGAGCTGAGGGATGTGCTTGTTTATGAGGTCAAGAGAAATGGAGTGAGTTCCTTTGCCCTTGGTGTTTCCATCGACAACACCCAGCCTGAGTCCAGCCTCCACATCGTAGTCTGGGATCTGGATGTCAGCTGTGATGACATTCTTTCTCCTGTTATATTTCATGATCGCTCTGGCTTCAGTGTGCTCTGCACCTGATGTTGAAAAACCAAAAGGTTAATATATCTTAACTGCACTTAATGTGGGTTTTTTCAAATTGAGGTATTGATAAGCCCTAAAGATCCTTCAATATTTGCCCCTACCTTCAGCCCTCAGAACAAACTTCACAGAGTCAACCTTCTGCCGTCCCTCTTCTCCCTCTCTCAGAAGCTCGTAGGCAATGGTGGCTGTGTACTCAGTGACTTCACCAGTGGGGTGGAGCTCCACAGCAAATCTGTTTAGATAATTCAGTTAATTAATCAATATTGTTAGGTAACTTAAACAAAAGAGAATTATGTGCCGGTGGTTTAGAAAGTCTTGCTTACTTGCTGTCTCCTGTGATGGGGAAGAAGGGGGCTGTCTCGTGAGAGAAAGCATCGGTGTACTGAAGATCAGTGCAGTATTTCATTCCAGCAAAGAAGGGAGAGCACTCGCTAACATCAACCTTGTCCATCACCATAGGGGGGATGGTCTTCACCTCTGATCCAGTCACTGCCACCAAGGTGTTTCTATATGTTAAGGGTAGATAAGTTAGAATAAAACTTAGAAAACAATAAATTGAAGATTGAAGATCCCTCTCATTATTCTAATAAAGCCATTATTACAGACACAAAAAAAGAGTTGCACTTAAGCTACAAATACAGCTGTTTTCCATCTTGTTAAACAATATTGTCCCCTTTAAAATGTTGTACATACAGGTATACATATTGTTGCTGCTTTCCAAGCAGAGTTGCAAGGCATTTTTTTCCTGTTTCTTACGTCATTTTGATGAGCTTTGTAGGACGTGTTGGAGCAGGGATGGTCAGCTTCACATTGTCACTTTCCATGGAGATCTTTGCACTAAGCCCACTTTCGTGGAAAATGTTGGTATGCATCTCTAAACCAGAGTTGATATATTCAGGGATGTGGGAGCCAATCTCTGATACAAACTCAATGCCGGCAGAGGGCATAAAGGTCACTTCGCTCTGTGTGGGCAAATAGGAGAAAGGATAAGACCTTTGGTGATCAGGTTTATCATAGAAATATATACTTGTGTCATTATAACACATTTATGAATAATTACCATGTCACGGGCCATCTGAAGACCACCCTTGATGCCAGGCGTGAAAGTTCCAGACATTGTAATCCTCAGGGGCACACCAGTGGCAGTCGGCAGGAAGAATACATTATCCATGAAGATGTAGTGGGCAAAGATTGTGTTATCAGCCTTGGTCATCAGTGCCTTCATGATCTGTGGCAAATACAAATACACATTAGACATTTTAATAATTGACAACGAACTTACAATGAATGCATTGTTTCTACTATGCTCTTTAAAGAAATGTCCTTACATCAGTTGGGAACATTTTGAACATGCTGTCAACCATCATGGCAGCAGAGTAGGCCAGCTCCTCCATTTCATTGGTCTTCAGATATCCCAGCTCATTACCCAACAGCCTCAGGTAAACCATCGCCTCGGGAGACTGTGCTGTCTTCATTTCATTTACGAGTTTGTTGAGGTTGCGTCCAATCTCCCTCATCAGGTTCTGTGATGCCTAAACAGAAAAGTCCATACTATATTACTTAATTCATTGCAGTTGGTATAAATCCAAAGAAATTATTACTAATAACATCATTTATACTTTTGATATAAAAACTATTTTTCTAAATACCTGTCTCTTCTTCCTGTCCTTCTTCAGAGCAGGGAGCATGTTCTGCAAGATCTCATTGATTCTGAGTGGCATGTTTTCAGAGACAAAGTACATTGTCTCCAGGGCAGTGTCGGGGAAGAATCCATTCTTTCCAAACAGGGCTTCCACAGTTGGCTCAAAGCCATTGCCCTCCATACCAACCTGTTAGGGTGAAGAACATTATGACATGACACACTTACAGACCTCAGAACATTTTGTTCCTAGTTTATGGAAAACACAGCTCAAAAGGTTTACCTCCATCATGTCGATGTCATAGCCGAATGCCTTCAGAGTCATTTCAAGCATGACCTCCTTGGGCAAGTAGCTGCTACCCTCAAAGAACATGTTGCCTTCCACAGATCCAATCTTGTAGTTGCGAGAGAACTTGGTGGGGTCCATAGATGCCCCAACCTCATTGCCCTGAAGTGCATCAAGGATCTTCTGTCTCAGTCTGAAGGACAGAAAACAAATATTACAGTTAAATATCTGATAATGATAAAATGGGGAACTATACTAACCATATTGTACAACAACAAATGTGTGACATTTGAATATAAATCTGAAACTGCTTTTCACTTACTCTTGGGTTGCTGGCTCAGTTGAGGACAAAATGTTGGTAATGTGGGAGATCACAAAGCTCTTGACTTGTTGGTCCTGCTCAATGGGCAGGGCATCAGCCAGCTGGGCCAGTTCAGTGGGCTGGGGGTCTTTCATGAGTACCAGATATGCAGCAACACGCTTTTGCATTGGGCTTGCGCCGTCCAAAAGCACTTGCATGAGAATCTCTCTGCCCTGTAAAAGATAGACATCAATATAATTAGTAAAAGGTAGAAATAATTATTTAGACGTTTTGTCAAACCTTTGAATGAATTTGACTTGCCTCCTCTGGGACGGGAGTCAGTCTGAAGGCCTGGATGGCAGCCTGCTGCACAGCGATGGAAGCAGCAGGTTGGTTCACACACTGGATCACAGCAGATCTGAGTGCAGGACCAGCAGCTCCCATAGCTGCTGCCATGTTTCCAATAACCTGTAATCAAAGGACATATTCGTTTTGTGCTCATTGGTGTTTTGTGTTATTTTACTTTTGATCCGTAGCTAAAGTTACCCACTCTCAATGTCATGAAAGTGTTGTCCTTGTCACCAGAACAGTCACCCAACTGGGAACCCATGAACTCAGCAACAGCGAAAATCTCAGGGATTAGTTTGCCTTCAGCTTTGTAAAACCTGGTCAGAAACAAAATACATAATATTATAATTCAAAGCTTGCTTCTCCTAATAATCAAAAGAGAGAAAATGTTTGCTGAAACATTATTCAGTGATTGAATACAGAATAAAGGGGGGTTAACTTCACTCACCTCTTTACAACATTGCTCAGGGCATACATGATGGGCTTGCTGGGCTTGTATTTGGCCATCTCGAGCATGTCATTGATCAGGAGGGCAGAGGGATTGGACACCAGTCCCATAGCAAAAACACCGGCATCAACCTCGAGTGAGGAAGTGTCAAAGGTCCTGAAGATCTGCATGATGGCACTGCTGCACTCAGGGGTTCCACACTGGGTCAAAACCTGGTAGGTCAGGGCACTCGACACTTCAAGAGCCTCTGGAATGGCAGGACTCAGGGTCTCGGTCTTCATTCCACGGACCATACTGACAAGCACGTGGAAGAGGTGGGCCCTCTTTTCACCTTCAGTCTCGGGCAGAGAGGCCAGTTCTCTCAGGAGGTTCAGACCTGCATCTTTATCCTGGATAGCACTCTTGTCCTCAACAGCGTCCATGTGAAGACCCTTCACAATACCACCTGTGAAACAATACCAACATAGTTATAATGTCACCGTTAGCTTCTTTGAAAGCTTTTCTGAATCAATCAAATTTATTTTGAAAGAATACACATTAAACAAAGGACTTACTGTGGTCAAAGACTCTTTCATTGCTAGGAGAGACCTGCACCAGAGTCAATTCTTGCTTTCCAACGTTGGTAATTCCATGTTCTCCACTGGTGAAAGAAAATCACATGCTTAACAATACTGTTGACCTCTTGTACAAGACATATCAGTATGTCACTTATATGACAAAACACTTTTAAGAGTCTGGTATGAGGTTAAACTTACTTGTGAGAGAAGGGAATGAGGATGTGGTTTTCAATGCATGAGCCAGAGGTCATGTGTTTGTCCGCATTGTCAAACTTGTAGTTGCAGGCCTGTGAGCTTCTGACCAGCTGGGCAAGAGGATAGTGCTGAAAAAAGATCATATGAATGCAGTGAATTAATCAAAGTTAAGTTGAATAGTATCCTCCCACATACCACTTCAATTAAATATATTTAATTCATGAATTTAATTGATTATCTGAAAGGTTCATGTTGCTACCTCAGCTAATTGGATATCTTACCATGCCAGAGATAAGTGCCAGTGGGCTGGTGTGGTCTCTCAGTGGGACAAATTTGTCACATCTGGACAGGTCCCTGTTGAGGCTGATGTCAGTTGCGATGTCCTCTCTTGCGTTGACTGTGGATTGGGTCTTGCACTTGCCATGAATGGTGGGCTGAAATAGATGATTAGAGAATTGTTGTATGTACTACAGGCAGTTTTTTTTATAGTAAATACAAACATGATATACTTTTGAAGTATACTAAAATATGCAAAATTCAAAGCATTCTCTAATGAATGTACCATGTTCTTGTTCTTGTCTTCTTCCAGCAGAGGCACAGCCAGGGCAGAAATGATTCCCCTTTTGATGTTCAGGATGGTAATTGTCTCCCCTTCCTCGGGGTACAGTTTGACATCGTAAACTCCCTCAACCACAACCTTCAGAGGATATCTAAAACAAAATACACGATATTAAGATTAATAACCCATGAATAAGCTGAATTGTGATTAATGTTTGAAAGAAAATAATCTTTGATAGGGATTTTCATGAAGTGACATACTTCTCCATTTCAGCAGCAAAGGCATCAGAAGTGGCTGCAGGAGCGAACACAGGGTTGCCCTCTGTGTCCATATCGACCACCTCACTCAGGCTACAGCCAGTGGTGCGGACGATGTAACTGCAAGACTGGGGTACTTCAACTGAAACCTGTGAAAAATTGTATATGTTTATTTTTATCTCACCCTCTGAGAAATGTATGGAAAGAAAATAATCGGATGACTAAACAGATGATTGTTAAAAGATGTTTCTCGTACCGTGCATGAGCCCTTAGGTCCATTCCTGAGCTGTGAGGCTCCGTTGATGGCATTCAAAGATTCAGCTTCATATCGGTATTCATACGTGTGGAGGGTCTTGTACCTTTGGTCCACTACAAGAGAAGACAATATTAAGAATTGATTTTGTAAGCAAAAGCCATCTTATTACCATAAAACTACTATTAATTTGTAGACTTGATGTATTAGAGTCAAGGAAACGTCTGGTGTAACTTACATAGGCAGGTAGGTTGGTCTTCTTCTTGGGCAACTATTCAGAAAAAAGTCACATTGTTTATACTTTAGAAATTCAAATGCAATTACAAATAATCAGATTGATTTGAACATAAAAAACATTACAGAAACTACATAAATCCATAGTTAGTCTTCCATACTTATAACAGTGTTCATTTTAAGATAATCATTTTAAAAGTGTATTATAACGTGCTTTAAACGATCCCAGTGGTGAAATAATTAATCACATTACACATTACAAGTTCCAGTCAGACTGAAATAAAATATTCTTCCTCCTCTCCCAAGATTGGCAGAGGTCAGAGGTAGAGGTAATTTTCCTAAAAGTAACCCCCTTTACAAGAGAGTAAAACAGTAGACCTAATTCTCTAACTCGCCCACCAACAATATGTTTTTAGTAAAAGACACTTTCAGAAGTCTATTCCAAAACCAAAGCATTTAACATTTACCATGTATACTGTTGGATATTTATACTGATTAGCATATACAAGCACAATTGAATGACAGTTAAAAGCTACAAGATTCTCTACAGTGATTTTTCTCTAAAATGTACTGCTTTATTTGCCCGTGATTTACTACTAATCTCCATTTCCATTTTTTCAGTTTGCAATAATCTATTAAGATTTTTGACCAATTTCATAGAAAATGTGTTTACAAAAATGTATTACCATTATTCACCAGAGATAACTGAAGTGAAGTTATCACATTTTTGTGTGCTTAAAGGCATTCTACTTTTGAGCATGCAGCTTTTGTATCTATCGAAAGCTGTATTTTGACATGGTTTTAACAGTGCTGTCTCAATTATTTCTGTTAGGATTATTATCCACATGCACTTATACTAAGTAATTTTCCAAGAAGTACTTACAAGCCAAGGCAGCTGTGCTGAGGATCAGCAATAGGCAGAGCTTTGTATCCCCCATGATGGGTTCGGTGAAGCTCTCTCCCTTAGTTAGAGCGAGTACTCGGTCGAGACTGATTCTTCTGCTAGAGCTTGGGACTTTTATACCTCAGCTGGGGTCTGTCAGGAGACTGGGAGGCACAGATAGTGCTTTGAACGCTCAAAGTCCACCCAACCCTCCTGTGTGGAGGGACAAAGGCAAAAGTTGAAAAGATACCCATAGCTCAAAGCACTCAATTTAGTTTAATCTTAAAAAAATTGCTCTTGTAAGAGCATTAAAAATGCATTTTTCAGATATATTAAAATGCGCAAAGGACTAGATTAAATATTTGTATTGATAAAGCACATTAAGCGTAGCCTTAAAAAAAATACTAATGAATTTAAAAAAAACTTCACTATATGAAATGTAAATTAGCTATCCATGAAAATGAGTTGTGTCACAATGATTACAGTTTTCAGTCACCTCTAGGCCCATTTCCTTGTCCACTTGTCGATAAAAGCAAGACTTGCAGTAGGTTTAGTTATTATATACACATTATTTTAATTGTATTATGTACTGTTATCCATTGTGCAGATTATAATGGCAAAGGGTTAGATTTAAGGATTGTGTCTTAACTTTAAAATCTAGGTCAAATATTTTTGTATTTTGTAGTTAGAATTTAGGTTTCAAAGATTTCTCATCAGGCCGAAGTTGATATTCTTGCACTTCTGCTGCACAAATACAAAGGCACTAGCACCTCCAGTGTTAATTAGATCACTGATAAACAGTTATTGGTGAGCACTGAGTGATCATGGTGTGCTGCAAAAAACAAAGTCCCACTTGATCTGGAAGAGAGGATTAACTTGTCAGTTGAATTGATGATATTAGTCAAATATATTACCTTAAATCTGCATTTTATGCAAATGTTCAATAACTCCTTTAATGTTGGTTTTATTATTGTATTTACTGGTTTATTAAACAGTGCACAATAATACACTTTATTGTTTATGCACCAGAGTTATGCTGCATTTTTATAAAATACTACACTTTAGGACTATACTTAATGTTTTAAATTAGATTGTGGCTAAACTTTACATTTAAATATAATGATAATGATCACATACTTACAGTAATATACCTTGTAAAAGAGTTAGATGCTTGTTGTTCTGCTTCCACTGCCACAAGCCAAAATGAAAACAGTGAAAACATTTGGCCCACTAATACAGGTAAGATAATGAACTTTGATCTACAAATATTCAAAGGTTTGTGCAGAGTTTTATTTGTTGTTTACGAGGCACTGCAGTCTAGTTCATGGCAGGTAAAGCACGTGCAGTAAATTAAAAAACAGCAATAACCTTGGGTTTGCTAAAGTCTTTTATTTGTGTTATTTAAATGTAAGTATTTGTCATTCTTGTGTGTTCATATGCAAAAGTGATAATGTAGTTTATATATATTTATTTTACTTTTGTACATCAATTATATAACTGCACATGAATGTTGTGCAAGGGTCTGTTGCAATACATCCCCATCAGGAGCTTTTTAAAGTTAGTCAGATACTGACACTGTTTGCACTGGTAGACATGTACACAGATAGAGTCCAAAGGGGCCTTAGCCTCTTTAGACACTTTGCTGACGCTTTAATTCATCATGACAGATTATGGTATTAATGTACATTTATATTATATTTTAAAACATTTTATTCTTCTGAAAGACAATTTCAGAAGTTTGAAATGAATGCCACCTCACCTCAGTTGAGTTACACGTCTCCGAGATCTCAGAGAGTCTAATGTTAGAGGACAGTTTGAGGAAAGGCTAAAACTATAAATATACACTTGTATTTGAATCATAAAACACATGCTGTATAAAAAAAGTTATGATGTGTGAAATATTTTATTATAAAATCAGTGTTCATCCCTTACAACCTAAGTTCACTAAGCGTGCAATGTTAGGTTTTACAAAGAAAAGGATATATTGTGCAACCTTTTGCAGCCATCAACCTATTAAGTCAGACAATGGCTGCAGATGAAAAAAATGTTTTTAAGAAAAGTGAAAAATTGGCACATAACCCTGTTGTCCTCCTGATGAGGCCCATGGAAGTAATTATAAACTCTGCAACCCTTGTCACAGGAGACAGAAATGTTCTGTCCCCCAGCATGGCAACTGTAGGCACTCTTACCTAATCAATCGTTGGGCATAAAGGTCGACTGTTTGATCGCCTGATTATATGTTCTAAGCTATGTCCGACTTTATCATTTATTTAGTTCCCATTTCGGCTGAAAAGGTCCAGATAGCTTCCTGATGATAAATTATCAGTATAACTTCAAAACATGACAATTTGAAAGAGACACAGCAATGCAGATATGATCAGCTATATGCTTTGCTTTGTGTTATCAGTGGTTAGCTATAGTCTTCTTAATCACATTTCCCAACCGATCGCTGTGCTGAGTAAAACGCAAAATCTGCAAACACCATATTTTTCATCACATAGGCATTGAGTACCAATTATTTTAAAAACAAGATCGTAAAAATGATTCAGGTCAGCAAAAGGTCACACATTCACTACTTAATTTTGCAAACTTAAAAATAGTAAAATGTTGCAAAATGTATGGGAGGAACCATCGCCATGGTGACAATGATGTAAACAGGTAATCCATGAGGTATGTGTTTAAATTAGGGCCGGGACTTTAACGCGTTAATTAAGATTAATTAATTACACAAAAATTAACGCGTTAAAAAAATTAACGCATTTTAATCGCACTTATTTTTGCACCGCGGAACGTTTCTCACTGGATGAGTTTCAGGCGTACCGATTATACTGGAGCACCAACTAACGTTCATGACTTCAGACAACAACAAACCACAGTGAACAACAGTGGGAAATGTTGTTTTAAAAAACGGACGGATGGAAGCGTTGATAAGAGCACGGTTGTGTGCAAATTATGCAAAAAGGAATTCGCATATCACCACAGCACATCAAGCCTCAAGTATCACCTCAATGCAAAACATATAGCAGCTAGCGTGGAAGCTAGCGTGGACGTTAGCCTTTTTTATCGCGTTCACACCATACAGTCTATGGTTCACACCAAAAAGAGCCGGTACTAAAATTAGTTCATGAGAACCTTTTTACCCCCACGAAAGTCCCTGCTAGAGAGCAGAGAGCTGCTAGAGAGCAGGGACTTTCGTACGGCTCTCTTGTGAGAAAAGAGCTATATTTCTGATTGGCTGGGCGGATTGCAAACCACGCCCCGTAAAACTCCCAAAAAGTTTGGTGAAGCCGCCATTTTATTATCCTCGCATTAGCATTATTAGCATTAGCCCAGCGCAGAAACGCAGAGAGACTAACTTATGGCAACACAAAATAAAACATGGGAGCGGTGGAGATGAGGAGGTGTCGACGTTCTGGCGATTTACTCGGAAGCAGGGGCGTCGCCTGGGGTAGGCATCCGGGGCTTTAGCTCCGGATGTTTTTTCTTTAGCCCCGGACAAATTCTCCCTCAATAATATAATACATTAACCTACTTTACCTATAGGACGGACGGTAGAATTGTAATTTCCCATGTTCAGTGAATGCAACACAGAGGCAAGACGACGCCACCAGACCAATCAGAGAGTTGCATGGAAATAAACGTGTTTTATTGGCTGACAGGTACGTACCTCTCCTCTGTGACAGTGTTTGAACTTTAAACTTTCAGCCCCGGACGCGGAGATTCTGAAGATGGACATTAGACATTTCTTTAATAAAAAAGACGGCAATTCTCAGGTGGTGGCTCACACAACAACCCCAGAGCCACCACCTGATTCAGGTGAACAAGGTATGTACCTGTCAGTAAACTTACAAGTTATGCGAACATGTAAGCAAAGCATACATTATAGCTACGTTGACGTTACTTTGAATCGCGCGGGTAAGCTAAACCGTTAGCAAGTAGCTATAGCTAGCCAGATATATTAAATAAACACTTTGTCATACAATCTAAATGTTGTGTTTTTTAGCGTTACTTGGTGATTTCAAAGAAAGCTCTCTGGGAAATGTTGACTTACTGTCTGTGTTCGACATGAAGCTAGAAGCTACCTTACAGTAAGTAGTACACCGTTGATCCTGATTCCTGAGTCCTGTCAGTTAAAGTGTTTCATAGTCAGCTTAACTAAGCATCAACCTAGCACTGAAATATGGATGTTATGTGACAGTATTTCTGAGAAAAAGTAATCTGAAATGGTGGCATAGTTGCCACTGCTTTACGTGTCGACAGCATGTTTGAACGTATTTGCAGCAGTAAATGTGGCTGTTTGGCCACTGACGTTGCCATAACACCTGCATTTAAATGTGCAACCTCTTTTTGTGACAGATTTTGCATGAAAATATAATTCTTCTGATTTATATTTCCTATTGACAGCTAGTTTCTATGTGAACATTATGAGATGGACAGCCAGCTAACAAGCTTTTTATACAAATATTTCAGATCAAAGCCAATCCAGTGGGGCTCCTGAAAGGGGGCAAGGGACACTATGCTCCCAAATATTAAGCCTTGACCCGCATCTTAAAATTGATATGATCAAAAAATGATCTGCATTGTCGGAGGCCTTTTTTCCTCATTATCATGTCAAATTGTACAGCTTTCCTTAGTGTTGAATGCAGAAAGATGACTATATTAGAGTATCAAGTGAAAATGACTATATTAAAGTTGTAAGTAAATATATTAAGTGAATTACTCAAACTGCATTTGTATAGGAATGATTCTGTCCTATTGGCAGATAACTACTCTAACAGTGACAAGAGATGTAAATTTAACTATTTTCAATTGGTTAGTATTACATTTTGTGACAGTGTGGTGACACTCATTTTAATGAAGACAAATGTGTGTATCTTGAAAATTCATTTATTTGACAGAGCTGGAAACTGATACATACTTGTTTGTGTTTACCCACAGTCATCACAGATGAGCCAAACAGAGGATGAAGAAAGGAGAACAGGAGAAAGGGACACACAAGAAGGAGAAACAACAGACAAGAACGACAATGGAGACAACAATGAACAGGAACACCAGAACAGACAAGAGTCAATGGGTAACATGACTGATTTAGGGACTGCAGATACAGGGCCAAGGCAAGTGAGACACCACTGCTTTCCATCCAGCATGTTTGGCCAGCAAAAGAGATCATTTCAACCGCAAACAGCAAGAGATGAGGGATTATTATTTCCTCCTTCCATCCCTTTTTTCTGTTTAATCTGATTACTAACTACTTCTAATCATTTGACATAGTTTATGATTTAATTAGAAAATGAAGTGTTTTTAAATAATAAACCCGTTTCTGATTCTGATTCTTTGATTTCTTTTTGATGGGTGTTGAGAGATGTATCCATATCTCTTAATGTTGCTCTCAAAGTGCACAAGATTGATGCTTTTAACTTCAATATTTAAAAAAAGTCTTCCTGGGGGACCCCAGAGGAGGTGAGTTCCCCCCAAAATAGCACTTTATCTCTGCTTATGTAACTCCGGTGTAGTGTCCCCTCGTCAACAGATCACTCAGAGCTGATTACTTTCCTGCATTTCAATGGACAGCATATAAAAAGGACACGTGAGCTGCATTGCTTAAGAGATCCTCACATGCTATCTCTTTTACAAAATAAGTGTCCAGTCAACAACAAAACATCAGTGATCGTATAGTGGTAGTATATTTTTCACAAGCAATGTGAAACATTAAACTTATACAAACTGGTGTACAAAACTCACATACCTGCGTTGGTCTCCTGGAGTGTCTCTACTCTTTCTTCTCCACATCTCTTTCCACCATCAGAGATTGCAAACATTTCAGAAACAGCTAGAGGTAGGGGACAAACAACTTGTTCGCTGGGCATGTCAAAAACCTCCCTGCTTTGATCAAGACTTTAGGGAGCCTTTCAGCCCCTCTAGCAAAGGGACTGGAAAGCAAGCTTTGAAAATTCAGTACCATCTACATGCTGTCATGTTCCAGACACTGCTCTCAACCACTCAGGGCCTGCACAAATACCTGCAGAAAGAAACACTTGACTTGGTGCAGGCAGTAGATTACAAAACAGCAGTTGAGAACACACTGAAAAGTTACCGAAGTAACGAGAAAGCACATGAGGTCTATGACAAGACCAAGGCCCTGTGCAATGATCTTGATATT